ATTTCGGTTCCTTTTTTCTTTTAAATGCTCCTTTTACTTTAAATTTTTTAAACAGAAGTTCAGTGTATATAAGGTCTAATGCACTATTGGTAGAACGATGAAACAGAAGTTTCCGAAACCACACACCATGGAGAATTAAAAGTTTTATCACTAATACTCTTGAGCTAGAACAACAGTTATGAACCCGTATATCATTTCAAAAGATTTTTTTAAAAATCCCCAAATGAATAAGCAATATTTCCTATACAATTTATATCCCCCTCGCCAAGACATTGAAGTCTCTTCCCTATTTCTTTACTGCAGTGAAGGTTAATCACAGAGGGCTTTAAAGTTGTCAGAATTATCCGTTTCCAACTGGTTTTCTATCAGCATCTGCACATTTTGAACCACATGTTCTTGGTTCAAAAAACACCCTGTTTAAGACTAACAGACAAATGATGCCCAAAGAAAGGAAAACAAGCTCAGTAGGCAGTAGAATAGCTGAGGAAAAGGTCCATTTGGAAACCCTTATGATAATTTATGTTGCTCACGTTCCCTGTTATTAGAGTACTCACCCCTAACAAGAAGTTCTGCCTCATCTGATACAGTGTCTGCTGTGGTCTGTATCTTGCAGCCGTATCTCCCAGCATGCATCAGAAGAATGTTCCTGATCATTAAATCTGCAGAGGATACTTGCTGGGGAGGGGAAAAAAAACAGGTGAAACAATAGTACCAACTTAATAACATTACAAGTCACTCTTTTTACAATGAAAAGGAGGAATAGCTTTTACCGAGTGTTCTGGAGGCACCTATTCCAATCTGAAGACCTAGCGCAACTTTGCCGATGTCCCCCATCCCACTCCACTTTTGTGCCATTGTGATAGAGGTGTTAATGATGATTAATGTGAGCACGTGAAGGTGCCTTCTGACAGTACCTGCAACCTTGTGCCCTTTGCCGGCAGCAGCTTTTGGAGGGCTCTGGGTGCTTGTTTTACAGCCCAGGTGTCTGATCCGTTTGAAACTAGAGATGCCAAGGACTCTGTTTGGGACATTACATCTGCTCCATTACAGTACCATATACTTCTTATGGCAAGGTGGCGAACCTTTTGCCATGGGTTCACAATGGACCCTCTCAAATCACTAGAGGCCACCTTTGCACCTTCAGCACTTCTACTTCTCCAATACCTTAGCATTGCCAAGATTGTGTCCGCTACAGTTATTATTAGAGATGGGGATGAAGCACCAAAATGGTGCTTCGTCTTGACGACCCACAACCCCCCCATGACCTGATGAACAAGGAACCATTTTGTCATTAGTCAGGTCATTATTATTTTTTGCTTTCCCTCCTCTTGCTATGCCCCATGGAGCAAAGCAAGAGGAGGGAAAGCAGGGATCAAAGTGATCCCACAGTGGCTGGCATATCGTTTTGATCCCTTTCCTCCTCCTCTTGCTGTATCAGCGGGGCATAGCAAGAAGAGGAAAAGCAGGGATCAAAGCAATCCCAAAGCACTTTGATCCCTTTCCCCCTCCTCTTTCTATGCCCCATGGGGCAAAGCAAGAAGAGGGAAAGCAGGGATCAAAGCCATCCTGCAGCTGGGGGATCCCTTTAATCCCTCTTTGATCCCTTCTCTTCTTATGCCATGCAGGCACAGGAAGAGGAGGAAAGGGGGACCAAGCCATCCCCCAGCCCCAGGGGTGTCATTCCTTTAAGGCAGGTTTTAGCAAGCTGCCCGAGGGGAAAACCCCTCTCTGCTTATGCCCTGAAGGAACAGCTAATCCACAGGGGCATAAGGACACAGGGAACTAAGGGACATATATAAATGGGTTATATCCATTGCTCTGCATTCATTGGGATCTCTGGATCCCAAGAATACAAAGCAAGGAATATCTGACAAATCAGGGATATTTCACGAAGGCCTTCTCTCCGGGCACTATTTAATTTTCTTTTTATTTTCTCCATCTTGAATTACTATCTATGTGTTGTTAACTGCTAATTTATTTATATTGTTTTATAAATAAAATAAATAAATAAATTTATATTGTTTTATTTTGTGTTCTGTGAGCCTCCCAGAGTAGACTATGTCTAAATGGGTGGCATATAAGTTCAAGAAATAAAACAAACAAACAAACAAACAAACAAACAAACAAAGAAATATCCTGATTTGCTTTTATATTCGACCCCATGTCTAGTTATTATCTATATTCAGCGACCTGATCTGAACATGAGCATTTGGAAGGTAACAAAGAATGTTTAAAGTTTTCTCCTGTGCATTTAGACTGTGCTGAAATCTTAAAAACTAGCGGCTTATGGGGGTAGGGAAAGGGTTCTGGCCTGAGGGCTGCACAACCCAATAGCCTTCTAGGGTTTGCATGTCAGTAATGGGCAGATGCCCTGTAAAAAAATAAGTGGGGGGGGGAGTAGTAATGCTTATGCCCTTTCCACTCACATCCAGGACGTTATCCACATTTCATATATAACACACTTAAATGCACATACATCCATTCTTGCACAAATGCACATAAATCACAGCCATTTCTTAACCTTCTCTCTTCCTGTTCGTGGTGTACTAAAGCCAGCACTCAAAAGTTCAATGCTGCAGGACAGTTAATGTAGTAGGGACTACGGCATCATCCACTCCCTTCAGGCTTCCTTATCTCCTATAAACTCACAGCAGTTTGGAGAGAAATGGATTTTCCCAGCAACCATGTACTGTTGAAACCTACGTGTTCTAATACAAAATATTTGAGGATGTTTTGAATGGACATTTAAGAGCCATTAACCATACAGGAAACCTGTCCTCATTAACTGTTTACATGGTCTAAATTACCCATAATAAATTACTGTCTGTATATTGTGCCTGCTCAATTTTTTTTACCTATATAGAATTATTAATGCAAACAAACATTCACAAGAAAGTTTGTATATACACAAACTGACAGCCAGGGTTTGACCAGTTTCATTGATGTGAGGAAGCAATGGAGTTGTTCTCAAATAAGGGACACGGTACATTTAGTACAACGTAATCTGTTCTGCTCTACATTGAGTTGTTTCAATATTTGTAAGCCTTGATGCTGCTGAGTTTTTTTTAATGCACCACAAAAGCGTTGTTCAAAGGAGTATGTTAAAGTAGAGAGAGAGAGAGTAACAACATTTGCTTGCTTTTAAAAAATGTAGAGTGGCAGGTGATGAACTAATCTTCTTAAATAGCTACTACATTTCTTAGAAATGCTGTGCTGTACTTAATGACAAAAAAAAATAAATAACATTGTCCCTTATAAGGTTTAACCTGGGTGTTTTCTTGCTGAGCTTCACCTTGCTTTGTAGAATGCTTATAGTGTGCTATTACTGTATTTTAAAAAGTTCTGGTATCCTTACTTTACTTCATCTCTCTCTCTCTCTCTCTCTTCTTGTTACTCTCTGACCCACCATCTAGTGTCCTATGTATCATTTTTCTTCTTCTAAAATATATGATCAAACACAGTATAATGGCTGAATCCTGATACTTCATGCATTGGGACAAACACAGTTAAGAAGCTCACATAAAGCTCTTGGTTGAATGACACTGAGAACTCAGCAAGGAATCACTGCCCAAAATGCCCAATATTGCTCATCGTTCGTTCGTTCATTTAGTCGTGTCCGACTCTTCGTGACCCCATGGACCAGAGCATGGCAGGTCCTCCTATCTTCCACTGCTTCCCATAGTTGTGTCAATTTCATGTTGGTTGCTTCGCAGACACTGTCCAGCCATCTCATCCAATATTGCTACTATGCCCCTAAGAATCATTCCGCACTTATACTATAATGTCATCTGTCTGTGAAGATTCTCAGTCCTCCAGGTGAGGTTATCTGGAAGCTGAGTCATGGCAACTGGACTTCTTTCTTGTTAGTTGAAACATTTCACTGCTCATTCAAGTAGCTTCTTCAGTCTGAGGAGAGTTGGTAGGAGACCCCTGATGTATCCTTCATGTTGGTCTCACTTCCCCTTGGTCTGAATAGGCTTGTTAGATGGACAAAGGACTGATGAGGGAAGATCCCACTTCTGCAGTCCTTCTCCACCTATTGTCATGGGTTGTTAACATTTGTTAACAGTGGTCTTTCTGGTGCATGTGGTCCTGATCTGTCTAGGGACAGATGAAAGGGCAACATTATAAATAGGAGACAGATAAATAAGGCCTCCATCCCTGTTGAGTAAGGGGTTTTCTATATGCACATGTATGGTCTCCTTGACCCCACTCTCAAACCACCTATGTATCTTCTCAGTCTTGGTCATCAAATGAGTGTCCTTTATCCTTCAAATGAAGGACCACTGCTGATTATGGTCCTGAGCCATTGCCCCTCCTGTGCTGGGCCATTCTCCTATATAGTGGCTGTTTGGGTTCTCCAATGTAGAGCTCTGAACACTCCTCTTTGCACTGGACCGCATATACTATATTCCTCCTGTTGTCTTTTGGGTGGACGGGTTTCTGCCTTAGTGTGTCTGTGGATTTGAAGTGCACTGGTATGTATGTATATAGGTACGTATGCACGTACATACACATGCACGCACGCACGCACAGACGGACGGACGGATGGATGGAATTTGTACCCCGAACCATCTGGCAACCAGGCCACTCTGGGCAGCTGACAACAATATCAGCAACAATATTAAAACATGATAAAAATAATTAATACATAACCAAATAGGCTAAATTAAAACAGATGGTAATGAAGGTGGTAAAAAGAGGTGATGGAGAGGACGGCAAAAAGAATGGAAAAGAGCGAGGGTAAGATCCTAGTGCTCCAGGAAAGTCTGGCAGAAGAGCCAGGTCTTCATTGCTCTTTTGAACCCATCCAGCGAGCGTCAGGCAGATCTCAATGGGCAGGTTGTTCCATAGGTGGGGGTCACATCAGGCAGATCTCAATGGGCAGGTTGTTCCACAGGTGGGGGTCAGGTCTCCGGGGTCAAGGCCCTCAACCGCCCTGCCTGTGAAGAATGGTATTATGGACAGATCTGGCTAGGAGCAGGCGTTCTGCTAGATACCAAGGTCCTAAACCTTTTAGGGCTTTGAAAGTTATCATCATAACCTTGAATGCTATCATCATAACCTTGAAGTTGATGTGGAAATGAACCCATAGCCAATGAAAGGCAGCCAGAGTGGGGGAGACATGCTGGAATTTCTTCACCCCAGTTTGGTATTTTGCCAAAAATCCTTTTGAGCTTTTCAGACACACCCGCCATGTAAGGAATCCTTGCCTCTAGTTCTTCTCAGTGAAGAACTGGTCCTTTACGTTCTACTTCTTCTGGTTCCTCTTCTGAGTCCTCACTGAAAAACTGTAAGTCGTCTTCTGTCCCCAGTATGGCTGACACTTATCAGCAGCCACTTTCTTGGGTTTTAGGCAGGACTCCTTCCCAAATGATGTCAGAAAACAGAACTTGGGTTCTTCTGCATGTGAAGTACGTGCTTTACTCTTGATCTGTGCCTTCCCAATGGGGATGCCAGAGACTGAACTCTGAATGAGATCTATTACTGTTTGTGGCCAAGCTGGCTGGAGATTCTGGTAGCTGTTGTCCAAAACTATGGTTATGGCATCCTAAATAGTGTCTCTCCTCCTCCTCCTCCTCCGTTTCCTGGTTAGGCAGCATCATAGCTATTCAGACTTTGGATGTGACAGCCCTAAACATCAATGTTATATTGTGTCCAAACTTCCTATAAGG